AATTGTGGGATAAGTTAGAAGCAAGATATATGAATGAAGATGCAACAAGTAAGAAGTTTCTGGTGACCAGATGGAATAATTATAAAATGATCGATAACAAATCAGTCATGGAACAATCTAGAGAAATTGAAAAGTTGCTAAATAGTTTCAAGCAATATAATATGAAGACGGATGAATCCATAGTTGTGTCTTCAATAATTGATAAACTTCCTCATGCATGGAAAGATTTCAAGAGAACATTAAAACACAAAAAGGAAGATATTTCTCTTGAAAATCTTGCTAACTCTTAGAGACTTGAAGAGCAATATAGAGCAGAAAATGAAATGGAGCAAAAAGTGCAAGTCTCGAATGTGCATGTATTGGAGGAAGGAACTTCAAGCAAGCCCAAAAAGCCTTTCAAGAAGAAGGAGTATTCTGTCAAGCAAAATCAGAAATCTAAGAAGCAAAAGGGTGCATGTTTCCATTGTGGAAAAACTGGACACTTCAAAAGGGAGTGTTATTTTCTCAAGAAAAGGAATGCACCAGCATTATCACATGAAAAATTCATTGTTGTGATTTCTGAAATTAATCTCATGGAAGATGACACTACTTGGTGGATAGATTCTGGTGCTACAAAGCATGTTTGCAAGGACAAAAGTCTATTCAAGACTTTAAAACCAGAACCTAAAGGAAATGTGCTATATGTGGGAAATTCTGCAGCAGTACAAGTGAAAGGCAAAGGAACCGTGGACCTTGAGTTCACTTCTGGAAAAGTTCTCACTCTCACTGATGTGCATTATGTGCCGGATATCAGAAAAAATCTAGTTTCAGCAAGTTTGTTGAACAAATTTGGTTTTAAACTTGTATTTGAGGCAGATAAATTTATTTTGTCTAAGGGTGGGGTTTTTGTAGGAAAAGGTTATGCTTGTGAGGGCATGTGCAAGATGAACATTAATTATAATATTAATAATAAGGGTGTTGTTTCTACTTATATTCTCGACTCATTTAATTATGGCATCATAGATTAGGACATGTTAATTTCAAGAAGATGCATGAGATGTCTAAATTAGAATTAATTCCTACCTTGCCTAAAAATGAATCACAATGCAAGACATGTATGCTTACTAAGATTAGTAGAATTCCTTTTCCTAAGATTGAAAGAGTTTCTAAATTGCTTGATCTAGTGCATAGTGATGTTTGTGACATGCATAGTACTCCTACTATTGGTGGCAAGAAATATTATGTTACTTTTATTGATGATTATTCAAAATTCTGTTATGTTTACTTGTTAAATACAAAAGATGAAGCAATGGAAAAATTCAAAGTTTATAAAGCAAAAGTGGAATTGCAAAGTGAGACATTTATCAAATGTCTAAGAAGTGATAGAGGTGGGATCAAATGTCTAAGAACTGATAGAGGTGGGGAATATTATGATCCATCTTACTTTGAATCCACTAGAATTATCCATGAGATAACAGCCCCATACACACCACAACAAAATGGTGTGGTAGAACGTAAGAATAGAGTTTTAACTGAAATGGTGAATGCCATGTTATCAAATTCTAGTTTAAGTCCAGGTTTTTGGGGTAAGCATTGCTAATAGCATGCCATATATTGAATAGGGTGCCTACTAAAAAAGGCCAAGTTATCCCATATGAACTTTGGAAGAAAAGAAAACCAAACCTTAACTATTTAAGAATTTGGGGTTGTAGAGCAATTGTAAGAGTACTTGAACCCAAAAGGAAAAAATTAGGTGAAAGAGGAATTAAATGTATATTTTTGGGGTAAGCAAAAAATAGTAAGGCATACCAGTTTATGGTCATTGAACCAAATGATTCAATTAATGTCAATACCATAATTGAATCAAGAGATGCTATCTTTGAAGAGAGCAGATTTAATTCAATTCCTAGACCTAAAGAAGCAATTGCTGAAAGTTCAGAACAAAGAATAGAAGACAACTTGGAAGAAAACAAGTTGGAAGAAAACATTGAAGTTAGAAGAAGCAAAAGAGCTAGAAAAGCAAGAACATATGGTCCAAAATTTTACATGTTTCTTATTGAAGGGATAAGAGAAAAGACAAGAAAAGTAACTAAATTTTGTTATAATATAGAAGCTGATCCTGTGACATTTGAAAAAGCAATTAAGTCACAAGATTCAGCTTTTTGGAAGAAGCCATAGATGAGGAAATGAGTTCCATAATGGGGAATAACACATGGATTTTAATGGATCTTCCACCAGGTTGCAAACCTATAGGTTGCAAATGGATTTTCAAAAAGAAACTGAAAGTTGATGGCACAATAGACAAATTCAAGGCAAGATTAGTGGCAAAAGGCTATTCATAAAAGCATGGTATAGATTATTTTGATACCTATGCTCCGGTAGCAAGGATTGCCACTATAAGAGTATTAATTGCTTTGGCATCAATTTACAAATTGGTAAGTCACCAAATGGATGTTAAAATAGCATTTTTAAATGGTGAATTAGATGAAGAAGTATACATGGAGCAACTAGAAGGGTTTGTGATGCCTGGTCAAGAAAAAAAAGTTTGCAAGCTTATAAAATCCTTGTATGGACTTAAGCAAGCCCCTAAACAATGGCATCAAAAATTTGATGAAGTGGTGCTTGCTAATGGCTTCAAATTAAATGAAGTAGATAAATGTGTTTATAGCAAGTTTAAAAATGGACAAGGTGTTCTTATATGCCTATATGTAGATGACCTGCTCATCTTTGGTACCAACATAGAACAAGTTGAAGAAACCAAAAGGTTCTTGTCTAGAAACTTTTCCATGAAAGATATAGGTGCTGCTGATGTGATTTCGGGAATAAAAATTCATAGAGATGGTGATAATTTAATCCTTTCTCAGTCCCATTATATAGAAAAAGTCTTGAAGAAATTTAATTTTTATGATTGTGCAATTGTTTCTGCACCTTTTGATCCTAATGTAAGGTTAACATCTAATGATGGAAAACCAATTGCACAATTAGAATATTCAAGAGTGATTGGATGCTTGATGTATGCAATGATTTGCACAAGACCAGATATAGCATATGCTGTTGGGAAACTTAGTAGATACACAAGTAATCCCAGTTCTTTACATTTGCAAGGAATACATAGAGTCTTGAAATATCTCAAGAAAACTATGTATTATGGCATTTGTTATAATGGTTATCCTTCTGTACTAGAAGGCTTTACGGATGCTAGTTGGATCATGGATCATGAGGATCATAAATCCACAATTGGATGGATTTTCATGCTTGGTGGGGGTGTTGTTTCTTGGGGATCCAAGAAGCAAACTTGCATAACAGATTCCACCATGGCAGCTAAGTTTATTGCCTTAAACTCTGCATGTAAAGAAGGTGAATGGTTGAAAGATTTATTATATGAAATTCTTTTATGGCCAATGCCAATGTCCCCGATCTCAATACATTGTGATAATGAGGCTACATTAGCAAAAGTTTATAGCCAAGTATATAATGGAAAGTCTAGACATATTGGTCTAAGACATAGTTATGTAAGGCAATTAATTGTTGATGGGGTGATCACCATAGACTATGTGAAGTCTAGTGAAAATTTAGCAAATCCTTTAACAAAGGGATTAAAAAGAGAAAAAGTATATAAAACACCTATAGGGATGGGTCTCAAGTTTGTTGATAAAAGTCACACATGATGGAACCTCGACTTAACGCTTGATAAAAATTTCAAGTCTTGAGTTCAATGAGTAAAGTACATCATATGAATGTGACTGCAAGTACTCAATTTATTAATAATACCATCCCAAGTGGAAGAGTACTTGGTAACCGTATGAAATAAAAAAGACATTGAGTTTTACTCTTAATAGGTCCTATAACTTATTTCTGTTAAAGTGCTTAATGCAGTGGCACTTTTGATGGGATCTACCTATATGAGTGGAATAGGTGCTACTTCTAGGAGTTGGGAACTTGACTCTAACAGAACTCATGAAAAGGATACAAGACACATGGCCAGTTTTTGTGTCAGTGGATGCTGAATTCCTTCTTTGGAAAGCTTGAAGTATTGTGTGTGACATGTGCCCAATTAATCACTTAGAATCGCTGGTTCAAAGCATTAGTCTACCATGCAATTCTGACTGATTTGCCAACACATGTTCACTAAGTGAAAGGTTCAAATCGTAAGATACCTTCATGTATGCATAAGATTTCCAAAACAATTGATGGGCTATTCTATTTTGAAAATGGTGGGGGAATGTTGAAGAATTTTCAAAATATTTCCAAGATTTGGGTTCGAATCACAAAACATTGATTCGAAGCAATTGCACAGAATGCATTTGAGAAAGTGTCACTTTGGTTCGAATCATAATTATATGATTCGAATCATTTACATCAAACTAGAATTCAAAAAGTTATGATTTTGGTTCGAATCACATTTTTCTGGTTTGAACCATTTACGTTAGAATAAGAGATAAAATTCAGATAAGTTTCTAAAGAGAGTGGATAACTTTGGAAGGCAAGGAAACACGTCATTTGGAGTTCAAATCAAACCAAATGAATTTTAGAAGAGTTTCCAATGGATAAATTTCATGAAAACTCAGTTATTATCCGTTAATAAACTAATAATAACTGAAAAGGAGCGTCTGTTCACAACAGACGTCTTGCCCCTATAAATATAAAGTTATCTCTTCTTCTTCTTGGTCTCTTGAACCCAAAAACAAATCTCTACTATTATCTAAATAAAACAGCCCCTTTTTGCACTTCGATCACTGCAGAAATCCTTATACAAAAACTATTGTTTTGTCGCTTTCCAAATGACGGTTCAGTGGTTGATCTTGCTAGTGCAAAAGCAAGATCAACAAGGCGCTTCATTGTATCCTACGGGCATTTCAGGTTACTCCTTTTGCACACCAGATCTGGTGGGGGCAAAATTAGCCTAAAGGAAAGTGGCATTTGCAACACGCCTTGAAGCCATTTGCAGATTTTCTACCCTATTTATTCATCAATCTGTTGCATCTCACAAGGATCGGTCCTCCATACACCATCTTCTCCCATTAGTCCTTGAATTTTTATTTAGAGCTCTCCAACAAAACAAACTCATGGGGTTCGGCAAGCCTGCATAGCAGCACCTGCCGTTGGAATCATCGTGTTACCCTCCTCTACCCCTTTGCACCTCTTTTCAGCAGTAACCTCTTTACTCGTCAACTGTTCCTTCAACTCCTCCTTCCTTTTCATTATACCAGAATGGTTCTGAGGGGAGTGAGTAGTAGGCCTACCATGTCGAGCCTCCTTCTTCCAGGCTCTAGTATGAGATCCTGACTCCCCTGTGTTCAGCCCTGATGAGAAGACAAAGACTGGGTCCATTTCTACATTCTGTGCCATTTGGGCTGAAACTTGAGGTGTGTGGGGCCTCATAATTTGAATGCTCATTCCTCCCGCCCAAGAGATTTGAGCTCTGTTGATAGCATTCCCCCGCAGAATCCTATGGTATAAGTTCTTCCGTAGTCAACCCCGTAACTGTTCTCACCAATTCCCTTATATTGCCAGTACATTCTTTATCTGCCTGACTTTCCTTTCGCAGAAACCTCTCTCTGGAGCTGTCATAGCAAGGCGTATCGCTGCCATTTAAGGGTAACTGATTCAGTGCGTGATTACCATCCGCAGGTTCTGCCACCAAATTGAGTCTATTGTTCCACCAATCAAGGCTAAGGCTAGGATTACTACAACGGGGTTTGCTTGATTCTATTGTCCTCTGGCTTTCCATATTTGGCATCGAACGCCTCCGTCGGGCTCCGTCCGCCACATAATTTCCAGAACCATCTCGGAGCCACTGTCTTGTATTCACAAAGGTTGCTTGCTGCAGGCGGCGTGGCAGCACTTTTAGTGTATCCCCATATGGACATTTACGTTTACCCAGCATCTCCATATCCAAGCCTAGTTCACAATCACGGTCCACGTGATCGAGCATTCCACAACAGTAGCAGAAGTTTTGGAGATGTTCATACCTAAAATCCACCCAGAGCGGTCCATCTTTCAGGGATAGTTTCATACCACGACGAAGTGGCCTCCTAATATCAACACCTACTCGGACTCAAATGAAATCTGAGCCCCAAGCATCACCATCCCCCACGTCAACATCAATAAGTTTCCTTATCTCTGCCCCAATCCGTTTCCCGTCGCTGCTGTCATATGGTTCGACGGTAAACCATGAATCTGGATCCAAAACGGCACCTCAACAAGGTCCTCAGTTGCCATCCGTCTACCTCCGCGAACCTCCTTCAGTACCATAGTATGGTTAGCAAAGTGCCAAGGGCCCTCCGCCAACACCCGTTGCAAGTCTACAGGATGGGAAAAATAGAATGCAAAAAATTGTTACCCAAGATTCTCATATGCATGCCTTTTACAGGTCTCTAGACACTGGCCAAAGTGTTTTCTAAGGCTTCCATATTATACTGCTTCCTGATCAATAGTTTGCCCACCAGGCACCATGTTGCTCCTCCTTCAGATTGATCGACTGGCCCCTTAGCATCCAAATCGAGCCCCACATCCTCATCAGCAGTCAATGCTAACTTTTCATCCAGCGCCGCTACTAGATCTTGTACGTACGGGTCAGCCATCAGCGTCAGAATTCTCCGTTTATTGTGGGGAAAGTGAAAACAGGGGAAAAGAAAATTATTTTGCTCCTACTGTAGGGAGAAAGAAAACTCTCAGAAGTCAGAAAGAAAAAGTCCAAGTCCCAAATTTGATACAAATTACATAATTATAATTACATAATTATAAAAGAGTACTATGCCATCAAATTTGATACAAATTACATAATTATAATTATTGATTAATAGAGAGCTTTCTTCTAAAAAATCAATAATTAATTTTTCACCATTCGATTTAGAGTGAAATACCAAAATACATTCTCAAAGAAATATCTTGTTGGACCTAATAAAACATTCTAAAAAAGATACTGAATCGTGCTAAAAAAAAGTTCTCAAAGAGATATTAATGTTTTGCATACTGAATACATCTAAAACTGAATATTAGTCTTAGTAGAGTAATAATTTTTGATTCTTCTTCTCAAAGAGTTCAAATTTGGTTTTAAGTGGTGACAACATCCCACTAGGATAGAGTGTGGTTGGGTTAGTACTCAACAAAGAAAATGCTATTTTCTTGTGATGCTTGACTAAACGATCAATTTGAAATTGAAAAGAATACACTCTAGAGTAGGAGGAGGACTTGTCTTATAGAAAGTGTAATATCCCAAAATTTTGTGATATTTTAGCATTTAAGTAAGGGTTTTTGTGAAAGAAAATATTGTTTTGGGGCTTAATAATTGAAATTTCAAAGTTCAGGGACTTAAAAGAGAAAAGAATTGGATAAGGACCGGGTGATATTTTTTTCCCTTCTTTCTTTCTTCAACCGCGTGTTTCTCTTCTTCTTCTTCTCCCCTGCACCGAACAAGAGCCCCAGCCACCACCGACGCCCCCACTTGAGAAATCGGTAAGAGAACTTGATGATTTTTGTTCTTTTCTTGTTCAAGGACAAGATTTAAGACTTAGGACACTCTCCCAAACCTAGAATTTTCTAGATCTGCACTGTTTCCTTTCCCCTTGTTGTCCGTCGGCTTCTGCTATGTGTGATTTCTGGGCTTTTTCGGGTAAGTCACAGCCATGAACTTCATCTTTTCAGCTTGATTTAGCTTGAGTTCATTTTAAATCTGTTGTTTCTTCAAATTTTGGTAGCCCCGTGAGCTTCCCCTGCACTTCCCGCCGGTCTCCCCAAGCCACAGCTCCGGTTTTGCTGAATTTCTGGTAAGAAAATAGCCATTAATTCTCTGTTTTTCCTTAAATTGGCCTGGGTTACTCTAAGTTCCTCTTGTTCCTTCGATTTTGGGTTAATTCCGTGAGTCCCCTGCAGAATTGCCGCCGGCTTCTTCCCCCCTGCCAGGTCCAGTTCTACAGCTGGAAAAATTCTGGTATGTTGACAGCTCCTCCAAGCCCGAAATTTCATCAATTGGTTGCTGAATTTTGTCCATTTATTTGCTGCCCTGTGTGTCCGAATTATCTGTTGGAAAATGGGGAAATTTCGGTAGCTTAAACTATGTTTTTAAGCTTGGTTTAAGTGTAAATTAGCTTGATTTTGGCTGCTGTACTGTTCACGGGTACTTTTAATGTTTACTGTTCACGCACTAATGGCCAACAATAGGAGGGTTTAAATGTTTAGTTATAATGAGAATAAAATTGAGATGTTTGGTCATATGGTTGAATTTCGTGTGAAGCTCATTGGTTAGTAAATTTGCAAGGTTGTGCTAATAATTCTAGCAAAGTCTGAATGTATTTATTTGGAATATTAGGTGTTGTTATGGCTTAGAGCACTAGATTGAGTCCTCGGTTTATGCAAGTGAGGTAAGTAAATTATAATAACGCCCTTCGATTTTTCAAAGTACATTTTAAATTGTTTTTGAGATGATGACAAGGTTTAAATTGATTTTAAATTGATTTTATTAGCACCGAACATGATTGATTTGAGATGAAATTATTTTCGTTTTCATTGAGTAGAGCATACCCACTTGGAAATACTGAACTGCTCTGATGATTTGAGAATTTTTATAAATTATGATTTTCTGTTAAATCCATGCTCACATGGAATTTTTTGGTAATTTCTTAAATTTGAGATTTGATTGTGAATTACGGATTTTTTTTGTAAATCCTGCATGGTTTTGTCTCTGATATGGTTATGTATTATTGTGCCCACTAGTGAGAGGTTTATAAACGCTAGCACATGTCGACATGTTTATTGATAGGATCGGTTCATTCTAAAATCCTGCCAATGGGATAAAACATTGGTTGCTACTGTACCCGCCAGTGAGAGGTTTATAAATGCTGGCCATGACCTATAGATGGGACTACTACTGAACTTTTTTCTGCATTACGGTTTGTCATTGAACGCTTTGTTATTGAACTGAATATGATTCTGCATTAACGGTTTATCATTGAACGTTTTGTTATGTTAAACTGTTTATCAGGCATGCTAAAATTTTACTCACAGGCTATCCATATTTATTTATTGAGTTAGCTCATAGTTTTTCCTTGTCCACTATTTTAAGAAACGAAGTCAAGGACGGGAAAAAACGAGAGGAGTGACGAGTCAGAAGGTTAACCATCTTATAAATTTGATATAGATTTTAGATATAGATAATGATCTTGTAAGCTAGAGTTTAATTGGAGATTTTATAAATTCATTTAATGGATTGTTAGTTTACAAGAGATTTGACCTTGAGATTTTGAGCTTAAGTCTTGTAGGACATAGAATTATTTTGAAATATCTGATTTAAGTTATTGGATTATCAGATGTGAATTGGATAAGTTCCGAGTCTTGTGCATTTGTGGAACCCTCTCACAAGTGTACGGCGTCTATCGTACCTCGAATTTGGGTTTTGGGGCATGACAGAAAGATAAGAAAACTCAATGAAAAATCTTTCAAATATCCTACAAATGTTAAAAATATCAAAACAAAAAATCTCCTAACGGAGTATTATATATATTTTACACTAGCACTAATTATTTTGTTAAAGTTATTCAAATTTATTTAAAAAATATTGATTTAATTTAATTTAATTATTAAGAATAATTAATAATTAATATAACAATTGATGTTTATTATTTATTTTTATTTTAAAATAATTGTTATTATTTGAATTTTTTTAAATTAAAAATTAAAAA